ACAAATCTAGCAGAGTGGCGCAGTGGAAGCGTGCTGGGCCTATAACCCAGAGGTCGATGGATCGAAACCATCCTCTGCTGACCATGCTATCAGTAGCCCATTGTGTGTCTGTGTTGTACCCTTTCAGTCAGTCTGTACTTTGGTTGCCAACAGGTTAGAGCCAGTCTCAAAAATGCATTGAACCATTCATGGTCTGCTATACTGTTTATTTGTGTTTTTTCTCCTAACTTTGTAAGAACCAATAACTGGAGAGTCTGCTCTGCCAAAAACATTGTAAAAAAATTTTGACAACTGTGAAAATTTTGCTATATGAATTTTTCTTTACATCCTCAGTAGGCTGGGTAAGCTGTCAATGAATGTATTCTACATTCACAGAACATACATGTTGACAACATCCAATGAAAAAAATAACTCTTCAAACACAGTTCTACATGATTTCGTCTCAATTTAATGCAAATAAAATTAGGCATTTTCTCATTTTTCCCAAAAGTATCAACACACACACACACACACACACACACACACACACACAGCTGTGAGTCCTACAGCTGATTGAGAGGAAGCTTCATTGCAAACATGGGTTAAGGAGTCCTAACCAAGCAGCTCTGATTCATACAGGCTTCACCTTCAAATTGACACACCTGTCCTGTTATAAGATACATTTTTCCTTTTTAGCATCCATTCAAACCGTATGTTTTCAGTTTGCTTTTTTTGACTGATTTAGCTTTTACATCAGGCAACGACTGTTTCTGAAACTTTCCAAGACTACATGAATCAACAAACTGCTGAGCGGAGCAAAAGCTGGAGTGAGTGGAGGCTTATCAAAATGGAACAGGTGTCAGACAACTTTTAGAAAATCTACATGAAAAGATACTGTCATTTTATCACTACACTCTGTATCTGAGGAAACTCCACTGTTAATTTCAGCTGTATCCAGTGGGGGGGGGACTTGTCTCTTGATTTAAAGCTTTATCATGTTTGGTCAAGAAATCCAAAACTGTAACAATAATATATGTATTAATTTGGCTTAATTGTTCATTTAAATAAGGTACCCATTTTAAGTTTTAAGGTGTGGCAGAATTTAGTTGTGATCTGTTGCCATAGTAACGGAGAATTCCAGGTGGAAGCCCCAGCCAGCTGTGCAGTGACATCAGCTATGACATCACAGTGATGACATCAGAGCTTTGAAAAGCTTTGATCACATCTCAGTGATGTCATCAGAGTCAAAGAGATTCAGAGGCAGCATGAAAAGTATTTACTTGACCGCACCAAGGAGAAGAAAACGAAATTGGACTTAGCTTCAAGATCATTGCTCAAGGAGTTACAATCATTTTAAAACAACTAACAAACACAAACACAGCTATGAGTATCCCCCGCACACCAGAGAGGATGGAACAGAAATTTTATCTGGCATCCAAAGAGACTGTTAAGCCAGTCATCCGCATGTTCTTAGGCCAGTTGACGGCACAAAACTGGCAGAGACTGGAGACTGGGCGTCTTGACCAAGATACAAGTACTCGTTTGACAGATTTGGCTGTAGATATTATTGAAATTTTGGCTAAAATTCTGCACGGGTCTCTCAACGCAAGACTTGAAATACAGCAAGACCCGTCACCAGGATCTGTACAATCTGTGTGTAAGGAGGACGTGCACAAATGTTTAGGTAACACGGGTGAAGTCATCACACAGACTGTGGCAGAGATACAGGGTGTAGGTGACATCCACTACCCTGAGTGCGGGCAGGTGACAGAGCTCATGGTCACAGCAGTCACAGAGAAAGTAAATTCCAGGCTGTCTAAAACAAGTGACTCTGACGACTCAGAGGAGCACAAGACCCCTTACACTCATCTTATCAAATTGACTAAACACTTCCAGAAGATTCTCAAATACTGCTCCAAAAAGATGAAGAAAATGTTGGCTAAAGCTGAGCAGGAGTTTAAAAAATTCAAATCAGCCTGCACTGTGCAGGAAAAGGAAGAGGTGGTGGTATCCACTCAGACCTCTGTAACTTCTCTGCAAGAAGAGAAACCAGGCAAGGCTGAGTCTTCAGTCAACAAACACCTGTCTATTCTTCAAGCAACCAAGGAAATCCTGGAGAAACAACTGGAAGAGATTGCTAATGATTTTCAGAGTCACTCCACAGAGGAAAAAGATAGCCTGCTCCTTTCTACAACCAGCAAGGACTCCGAGTTATCGGAGTTATCATTTCAGATTGTAGATGCTTTTACAAATGAGGCTCGCAAGGACCTGCTTGAAGAGAAACAATCATCCACAAAAGAGACCTCAAGACACAACAGGAGAAGGCTCATCAACAGGATGAAGAGTGTCTTTGTCCGAACAGTTGCTCGAGAGTCAATCATGAACATGATGTCTGCAGTCAGACGCAAGCAGGCCTGTCAAGGACAAGAAGTTGTGGAACTAGACACATCCCAGCTGATTAAGAGTGTGGATAATCTTTTAACAGAGGCCATTACACCAAAAGATCAGGATACAAGAAGTGGGTCAAGAGAGGTTTGCCTCTTTCAGAAGATAGCCAGCGACATTTCCAATGGCACACTGGAAAGTTTTGCTGAGAAGCTGAGTGACACATTGGCCAATCACTTGACACCACTAGAAGAAGAAACACACAGAGAGGAGATTCGGACTGAAGTTGACAATGTCATTAAACAGATGTGGAATTGGTTGAAGAAGCAGATCCTCCTGCGCAAGACAAGGAAGGACAGTGTGAGCATGACTCTGAGAGAGGTCAAGAAAGTTGTGCTCAATGAACATTCAGGTCTCAGTTCCCCCAAAACAGAAGCTGAGGATCAGACCTACCCCACACCTGTGCAAGAGGAGGTTCAAAGCGTCACAGCTGAGGAAGCGGAAGAAGAGGCCTGCAATGCTAGGGAGGAAAAGAAAGAGGCCTGCGCAGATGAGGAGGAGGAAGAAGAGGCCTTCTCAGATGGGGAGGAAAAGGAAGAGGCCTGCGTAGATGAGGAGGATGAAGAAGAAGCCTTCACAGCTGAGGAGCAAGTAGAACAAGTTCAGGTGGCAAAAGCATCAGGTGAATACACAGAATCTGTTCTCCGGAAGTGGGACCTACTGACTTGTGAAGTCATTGTGAGGCTGTTCTTACGCAAAGTCACGAAAGATTTTTTCCCCGATCTGATCTACAAATCAGTGGAAGCCAGACTGAGAGACCTGCTGTTTGAAAAGATGATTGGTACTGACGTTAATGTGGATTTGAGCCTGAAAAGCATGCAAAAGAAATGCAAAGCTGTGTACAAAGAACTATGCAAAAAGTTTGATGGCACAGTTCTTTTGAGAAGTCTCTTGGAACAGGATCAACCAGTCGTTGAGGCTGTGGTTGAGGCTCTAAAAGAGCATTTTTCATCAGAAAGACCCAGCGGCATCCAAAAGTTCTTCAGATGTCTTGTCTTACCTTTCACTGTTTTATTGGTTGTGACTAATCACATTTCACAAATTGGCCCCACTGTACGGCAAGTAGTGAATGAAGTCCTAGATGGATAAGAGGACACACTTCAGGTCCATACATGGCCACCCACACGAATGGGTTTACTCCGAGTGCTTCGGTTTCTCCCAACACAAGACTAAATTCTTGAATGAAAAAAAACACACACACACACACACACACACAAATCTAGCAGAGTGGCGCAGTGGAAGCGTGCTGGGCCTATAACCCAGAGGTCGATGGATCGAAACCATCCTCTGCTGACCATGCTATCAGTAGCCCATTGTGTGTCTGTGTTGTACCCTTTCAGTCAGTCTGTACTTTGGTTGCCAACAGGTTAGAGCCAGTCTCAAAAATGCATTGAACCATTCATGGTCTGCTATACTGTTTATTTGTGTTTTTTCTCCTAACTTTGTAAGAACCAATAACTGGAGAGTCTGCTCTGCCAAAAACATTGTAAAAAAATTTTTACAACTGTGAAAATTTTGCTATATGAATTTTTCTTTACATCCTCAGTAGGCTGGGTAAGCTGTCAATGAATGTATTCTACATTCACAGAACATACATGTTGACAACATCCAATGAAAAAAATAACTCTTCAAACACAGTTCTACATGATTTCGTCTCAATTTAATGCAAATAAAATTAGGCATTTTCTCATTTTTCCCAAAAGTATCAACACACACACACACACACACACACACACACACACACAGCTGTGAGTCCTACAGCTGATTGAGAGGAAGCTTCATTGCAAACATGGGTTAAGGAGTCCTAACCAAGCAGCTCTGATTCATACAGGCTTCACCTTCAAATTGACACACCTGTCCTGTTATAAGATACATTTTTCCTTTTTAGCATCCATTCAAACCGTATGTTTTCAGTTTGCTTTTTTTGACTGATTTAGCTTTTACATCAGGCAACGACTGTTTCTGAAACTTTCCAAGACTACATGAATCAACAAACTGCTGAGCGGAGCAAAAGCTGGAGTGAGTGGAGGCTTATCAAAATGGAACAGGTGTCAGACAACTTTTAGAAAATCTACATGAAAAGATACTGTCATTTTATCACTACACTCTGTATCTGAGGAAACTCCACTGTTAATTTCAGCTGTATCCAGTGGGGGGGGGGACTTGTCTCTTGATTTAAAGCTTTATCATGTTTGGTCAAGAAATCCAAAACTGTAACAATAATATATGTATTAATTTGGCTTAATTGTTCATTTAAATAAGGTACCCATTTTAAGTTTTAAGGTGTGGCAGAATTTAGTTGTGATCTGTTGCCATAGTAACGGAGAATTCCAGGTGGAAGCCCCAGCCAGCTGTGCAGTGACATCAGCTATGACATCACAGTGATGACATCAGAGCTTTGAAAAGCTTTGATCACATCTCAGTGATGTCATCAGAGTCAAAGAGATTCAGAGGCAGCATGAAAAGTATTTACTTGACCGCACCAAGGAGAAGAAAACGAAATTGGACTTAGCTTCAAGATCATTGCTCAAGGAGTTACAATCATTTTAAAACAACTAACAAACACAAACACAGCTATGAGTATCCCCCGCACACCAGAGAGGATGGAACAGAAATTTTATCTGGCATCCAAAGAGACTGTTAAGCCAGTCATCCGCATGTTCTTAGGCCAGTTGACGGCACAAAACTGGCAGAGACTGGAGACTGGGCGTCTTGACCAAGATACAAGTACTCGTTTGACAGATTTGGCTGTAGATATTATTGAAATTTTGGCTAAAATTCTGCACGGGTCTCTCAACGCAAGACTTGAAATACAGCAAGACCCGTCACCAGGATCTGTACAATCTGTGTGTAAGGAGGACGTGCACAAATGTTTAGGTAACACGGGTGAAGTCATCACACAGACTGTGGCAGAGATACAGGGTGTAGGTGACATCCACTACCCTGAGTGCGGGCAGGTGACAGAGCTCATGGTCACAGCAGTCACAGAGAAAGTAAATTCCAGGCTGTCTAAAACAAGTGACTCTGACGACTCAGAGGAGCACAAGACCCCTTACACTCATCTTATCAAATTGACTAAACACTTCCAGAAGATTCTCAAATACTGCTCCAAAAAGATGAAGAAAATGTTGGCTAAAGCTGAGCAGGAGTTTAAAAAATTCAAATCAGCCTGCACTGTGCAGGAAAAGGAAGAGGTGGTGGTATCCACTCAGACCTCTGTAACTTCTCTGCAAGAAGAGAAACCAGGCAAGGCTGAGTCTTCAGTCAACAAACACCTGTCTATTCTTCAAGCAACCAAGGAAATCCTGGAGAAACAACTGGAAGAGATTGCTAATGATTTTCAGAGTCACTCCACAGAGGAAAAAGATAGCCTGCTCCTTTCTACAACCAGCAAGGACTCCGAGTTATCGGAGTTATCATTTCAGATTGTAGATGCTTTTACAAATGAGGCTCGCAAGGACCTGCTTGAAGAGAAACAATCATCCACAAAAGAGACCTCAAGACACAACAGGAGAAGGCTCATCAACAGGATGAAGAGTGTCTTTGTCCGAACAGTTGCTCGAGAGTCAATCATGAACATGATGTCTGCAGTCAGACGCAAGCAGGCCTGTCAAGGACAAGAAGTTGTGGAACTAGACACATCCCAGCTGATTAAGAGTGTGGATAATCTTTTAACAGAGGCCATTACACCAAAAGATCAGGATACAAGAAGTGGGTCAAGAGAGGTTTGCCTCTTTCAGAAGATAGCCAGCGACATTTCCAATGGCACACTGGAAAGTTTTGCTGAGAAGCTGAGTGACACATTGGCCAATCACTTGACACCACTAGAAGAAGAAACACACAGAGAGGAGATTCGGACTGAAGTTGACAATGTCATTAAACAGATGTGGAATTGGTTGAAGAAGCAGATCCTCCTGCGCAAGACAAGGAAGGACAGTGTGAGCATGACTCTGAGAGAGGTCAAGAAAGTTGTGCTCAATGAACATTCAGGTCTCAGTTCCCCCAAAACAGAAGCTGAGGATCAGACCTACCCCACACCTGTGCAAGAGGAGGTTCAAAGCGTCACAGCTGAGGAAGCGGAAGAAGAGGCCTGCAATGCTAGGGAGGAAAAGAAAGAGGCCTGCGCAGATGAGGAGGAGGAAGAAGAGGCCTTCTCAGATGGGGAGGAAAAGGAAGAGGCCTGCGTAGATGAGGAGGATGAAGAAGAAGCCTTCACAGCTGAGGAGCAAGTAGAACAAGTTCAGGTGGCAAAAGCATCAGGTGAATACACGGAATCTGTTCTCCGGAAGTGGGACCTACTGACTTGTGAAGTCATTGTGAGGCTGTTCTTACGCAAAGTCACGAAAGATTTTTTCCCCGATCTGATCTACAAATCAGTGGAAGCCAGACTGAGAGACCTGCTGTTTGAAAAGATGATTGGTACTGACGTTAATGTGGATTTGAGCCTGAAAAGCATGCAAAAGAAATGCAAAGCTGTGTACAAAGAACTATGCAAAAAGTTTGATGGCACAGTTCTTTTGAGAAGTCTCTTGGAACAGGATCAACCAGTCGTTGAGGCTGTGGTTGAGGCCCTAAAAGAGCATTTTTCATCAGAAAGACCCAGCGGCATCCAAAAGTTCTTCAGATGTCTTGTCTTACCTTTCACTGTTTTATTGGTTGTGACTAATCACATTTCACAAATTGGCCCCACTGTACGGCAAGTAGTGAATGAAGTCCTAGATGGATAAGAGGACACACTTCAGGTCCATACATGGCCACCCACATGAATGGGTTTACTCCGAGTGCTTCGGTTTCTCCCAACACAAGACTAAATTCTTGAATGAAAAAAAACACACACACACACACACACACAAACACACACACACAAATCTAGCAGAGTGGCGCAGTGGAAGCGTGCTGGGCCTATAACCCAGAGGTCGATGGATCGAAACCATCCTCTGCTGACCATGCTATCAGTAGCCCATTGTGTGTCTGTGTTGTACCCTTTCAGTCAGTCTGTACTTTGGTTGCCAACAGGTTAGAGCCAGTCTCAAAAATGCATTGAACCATTCATGGTCTGCTATACTGTTTATTTGTGTTTTTTCTCCTAACTTTGTAAGAACCAATAACTGGAGAGTCTGCTCTGCCAAAAACATTGTAAAAAAATTTTGACAACTGTGAAAATTTTGCTATATGAATTTTTCTTTACATCCTCAGTAGGCTGGGTAAGCTGTCAATGAATGTATTCTACATTCACAGAACATACATGTTGACAACATCCAATGAAAAAAATAACTCTTCAAACACAGTTCTACATGATTTCGTCTCAATTTAATGCAAATAAAATTAGGCATTTTCTCATTTTTCCCAAAAGTATCAACACACACACACACACACACACACACACACACACACACACACACAGCTGTGAGTCCTACAGCTGATTGAGAGGAAGCTTCATTGCAAACATGGGTTAAGGAGTCCTAACCAAGCAGCTCTGATTCATACAGGCTTCACCTTCAAATTGACACACCTGTCCTGTTATAAGATACATTTTTCCTTTTTAGCATCCATTCAAACCGTATGTTTTCAGTTTGCTTTTTTTGACTGATTTAGCTTTTACATCAGGCAACGACTGTTTCTGAAACTTTCCAAGACTACATGAATCAACAAACTGCTGAGCGGAGCAAAAGCTGGAGTGAGTGGAGGCTTATCAAAATGGAACAGGTGTCAGACAACTTTTAGAAAATCTACATGAAAAGATACTGTCATTTTATCACTACACTCTGTATCTGAGGAAACTCCACTGTTAATTTCAGCTGTATCCAGTGGGGGGGGGGGGGGGACTTGTCTCTTGATTTAAAGCTTTATCATGTTTGGTCAAGAAATCCAAAACTGTAACAATAATATATGTATTAATTTGGCTTAATTGTTTATTTAAATAAGGTACCCATTTTAAGTTTTAAGGTGTGGCAGAATTTAGTTGTGATCTGTTGCCATAGTAACGGAGAATTCCAGGTGGAAGCCCCAGCCAGCTGTGCCGTGACATCAGCTATGACATCACAGTGATGACATCAGAGCTTTGAAAAGCTTTGATCACATCTCAGTGATGTCATCAGAGTCAAAGAGATTCAGAGGCAGCATGAAAAGTATTTACTTGACCGCACCAAGGAGAAGAAAACGAAATTGGACTTAGCTTCAAGATCATTGCTCAAGGAGTTACAATCATTTTAAAACAACTAACAAACACAAACACAGCTATGAGTATCCCCCGCACACCAGAGAGGATGGAACAGAAATTTTATCTGGCATCCAAAGAGACTGTTAAGCCAGTCATCCGCATGTTCTTAGGCCAGTTGACGGCACAAAACTGGCAGAGACTGGAGACTGGGCGTCTTGACCAAGATACAAGTACTCGTTTGACAGATTTGGCTGTAGATATTATTGAAATTTTGGCTAAAATTCTGCACGAGTCTCTCAACGCAAGACTTGAAATACAGCAAGACCCGTCACCAGGATCTGTACAATCTGTGTGTAAGGAGGACGTGCACAAATGTTTAGGTAACACGGGTGAAGTCATCACACAGACTGTGGCAGAGATACAGGGTGTAGGTGACATCCACTACCCTGAGTGCGGGCAGGTGACAGAGCTCATGGTCACAGCAGTCACAGAGAAAGTAAATTCCAGGCTGTCTAAAACAAGTGACTCTGACGACTCAGAGGAGCACAAGACCCCTTACACTCATCTTATCAAATTGACTAAACACTTCCAGAAGATTCTCAAATACTGCTCCAAAAAGATGAAGAAAATGTTGGCTAAAGCTGAGCAGGAGTTTAAAAAATTCAAATCAGCCTGCACTGTGCAGGAAAAGGAAGAGGTGGTGGTATCCACTCAGACCTCTGTAACTTCTCTGCAAGAAGAGAAACCAGGCAAGGCTGAGTCTTCAGTCAACAAACACCTGTCTATTCTTCAAGCAACCAAGGAAATCCTGGAGAAACAACTGGAAGAGATTGCTAATGATTTTCAGAGTCACTCCACAGAGGAAAAAGATAGCCTGCTCCTTTCTACAACCAGCAAGGACTCCGAGTTATCGGAGTTATCATTTCAGATTGTAGATGCTTTTACAAATGAGGCTCGCAAGGACCTGCTTGAAGAGAAACAATCATCCACAAAAGAGACCTCAAGACACAACAGGAGAAGGCTCATCAACAGGATGAAGAGTGTCTTTGTCCGAACAGTTGCTCGAGAGTCAATCATGAACATGATGTCTGCAGTCAGACGCAAGCAGGCCTGTCAAGGACAAGAAGTTGTGGAACTAGACACATCCCAGCTGATTAAGAGTGTGGATAATCTTTTAACAGAGGCCATTACACCAAAAGATCAGGATACAAGAAGTGGGTCAAGAGAGGTTTGCCTCTTTCAGAAGATAGCCAGCGACATTTCCAATGGCACACTGGAAAGTTTTGCTGAGAAGCTGAGTGACACATTGGCCAATCACTTGACACCACTAGAAGAAGAAACACACAGAGAGGAGATTCGGACTGAAGTTGACAATGTCATTAAACAGATGTGGAATTGGTTGAAGAAGCAGATCCTCCTGCGCAAGACAAGGAAGGACAGTGTGAGCATGACTCTGAGAGAGGTCAAGAAAGTTGTGCTCAATGAACATTCAGGTCTCAGTTCCCCCAAAACAGAAGCTGAGGATCAGACCTACCCCACACCTGTGCAAGAGGAGGTTCAAAGCGTCACAGCTGAGGAAGCGGAAGAAGAGGCCTGCAATGCTGGGGAGGAAAAGAAAGAGGCCTGCGCAGATGAGGAGGAGGAAGAAGAGGCCTTCTCAGATGGGGAGGAAAAGGAAGAGGCCTGCGTAGATGAGGAGGATGAAGAAGAAGCCTTCACAGCTGAGGAGCAAGTAGAACAAGTTCAGGTGGCAAAAGCATCAGGTGAATACACGGGAATCTGTTCTCCGGAAGTGGGACCTACTGACTTGTGAAGTCATTGTGAGGCTGTTCTTACGCAAAGTCACGAAAGATTTTTTCCCCGATCTGATCTACAAATCAGTGGAAGCCAGACTGAGAGACCTGCTGTTTGAAAAGATGATTGGTACTGACGTTAATGTGGATTTGAGCCTGAAAAGCATGCAAAAGAAATGCAAAGCTGTGTACAAAGAACTATGCAAAAAGTTTGATGGCACAGTTCTTTTGAGAAGTCTCTTGGAACAGGATCAACCAGTCGTTGAGGCTGTGGTTGAGGCTCTAAAAGAGCATTTTTCATCAGAAAGACCCAGCGGCATCCAAAAGTTCTTCAGATGTCTTGTCTTACCTTTCACTGTTTTATTGGTTGTGACTAATCACATTTCACAAATTGGCCCCACTGTACGGCAAGTAGTGAATGAAGTCCTAGATGGATAAGAGGACACACTTCAGGTCCATACATGGCCACCCACACGAATGGGTTTACTCCGAGTGCTTCGGTTTCTCCCAACACAAGACTAAATTCTTGAATGAAAAAACACACACACACACACACACACACACACACACACACACACAAATCTAGCAGAGTGGCGCAGTGGAAGCGTGCTGGGCCTATAACCCAGAGGTCGATGGATCGAAACCATCCTCTGCTGACCATGCTATCAGTAGCCCATTGTGTGTCTGTGTTGTACCCTTTCAGTCAGTCTGTACTTTGGTTGCCAACAGGTTAGAGCCAGTCTCAAAAATGCATTGAACCATTCATGGTCTGCTATACTGTTTATTTGTGTTTTTTCTCCTAACTTTGTAAGAACCAATAACTGGAGAGTCTGCTCTGCCAAAAACATTGTAAAAAAATTTTGACAACTGTGAAAATTTTGCTATATGAATTTTTCTTTACATCCTCAGTAGGCTGGGTAAGCTGTCAATGAATGTATTCTACATTCACAGAACATACATGTTGACAACATCCAATGAAAAAAATAACTCTTCAAACACAGTTCTACATGATTTCGTCTCAATTTAATGCAAATAAAATTAGGCATTTTCTCATTTTTCCCAAAAGTATCAACCTTTATTCGTTGACAATTAACTATTTCCCCAGGTTAGGACATCGGTCAATATGCCATTCTTTTCACCAAACACTATTCTCATTCCACTGAAAGATGTATACAAGTCCACCAGAAATCATTGGATCTCTGATGTTTTCACAACTAGTTGGTGATCAGCAGGTTCAGAACCTCAATAGAATTTTAGACTACTCTTAAAATTCCATAAGACATAGGCTTACAAGATATTTATCATGGCTGTTCATATCCTAATTATTAAACATCATGGCCTAGGTATCTTTTAAATTTCAACATAACTGTGTTCTCCCAATACAGCAAATGACTCTCGTTATTTTATTACCTCGGATGACAATTATTACAGCTTTAATGGAACAAAAGAATTTAACATAATTAACAAGGTTCATGTCTCTTTGAAGTGGGATAGTCAAGAGGGTGGCACACTGCAGATACTACTCTGGAGACAGACCCTCACCCTAACCACCTGAGGAGACAAGACTTCCAGGGCACGACCACCACCCCTCTCTCAAATACAAACACACACACACACACACACACACACACACACACACACACACACACACAGCTGTGAGTCCTACAGCTGATTGAGAGGAAGCTTCATTGCAATCATGGGTTAAGGAGTCCTAACCAAGCAGCTCTGATTCATACAGGCTTCACCTTCAAATTGACACACCTGTCCTGTTATAAGATACATTTTTCCTTTTTAGCATCCATTCAAACCGTATGTTTTCAGTTTGCTTTTTTTGACTGATTTAGCTTTTACATCAGGCAACGACTGTTTCTGAAACTTTCCAAAACTACATGAATCAACAAACTGCTGAGCGGAGCAAAAGCTGGAGTGAGTGGAGGCTTATCAAAATGGAACAGGTGTCAGACAAAACCTCACACCCCTCCTCTAAAAAGAGAATTATGTTCGTTAGTTTTTTTCTTTTTTTTTTCTGCCTGGAAAACCTTGAGAGAATCTCTCTTCCTGGAGCAGTCAGACTGTGCTCTGCTTCACAGCTGCACACTGAGCAGGTGGAAAAGAACGTCCTGCAGGGTGGAGCTGCAAAGATACATGATGGAGGAATCAGCTGATGACTGCAGAGGATGGAGAAGGGTCAAGGAGGACAGAGGGGGTGCAATGGTTTAATGGTTCTCCCTCAGACAGAGTCAGAGTGGTCTTAGGGATAGTGTTTTATCTCAATGTTTCAGACAAATGACCTTCCAGCTCTGCAAACAACCAACAACGGCTCACACAGTAAAATTAGACAAGTCAAAAAAAAGGGGGCTTTCTTATTTTCTTTCTGCTAAAATCATTCAACAATTCTGCACAGAAAAAAGATTTATCCCACCTTGACATAAAAAACTGAAGATGTAGTTACAGTTCAAGGGTTCAGCCCAGGTCCTGCTGTGCAAAAGGGGTCAGATAAGATCCTCTGAAAATGTTTTACTACTCCAGATTAAAGACTGTAGATCAGACTGGATTTATATGATGAGGGGATTTCTGTGTGATCTGAAATTTGCTTGATAAACCACAGACATGGTCCATTTGCACAGGATTAAAAACACAGACATCCTCTTTAATTGTTATATTTGTTCAGAGATCCCCAGGTATTACAAATCCTGTGTGAATAGAGTTTTAATCTCAATCCCAGTCATTGATTTTATGCGGTTTAAAGCTGCAGTTACATCACTTGGTTTGCTGAGATTTCTCATTAATTTAACTTGTCAGCAGAGCTTCAGCAATAACAAGGTACCCTGAATGTTGAGATGTTAGCCGTTGACAACGCTAATCAGTTGGATAGAATAATCTGAGCCCTTTCTCTTCGAAACAGCTTTGCTTTTACCTGGAGAAACTTTCAGAAATTATGTGGCGAATAATTCAGATAAGGCCTGAGGGTCAAAGCTGCTGCAGGGATGCTGTCAGCACTGAAAAGGAACAGAGGAAAAGAGGCTAATGGAGGTCAATGGAGGTTTTAAATACCCTTTGTTAGGTGTTCAACATCAAATCAATATAAATTGCGGTTTAAAAGTTACCCTTGTGTCTGAAGCTCCTCTGCTGTCTGTGTTGTTTTTATTCCAGTTGTGTCTTTTCTTTCATTTCCTTATCTTTTCTTCACTACAGACAGCTCTGATGTGTCATATCCTGCTACACCATGGTGCGTCTCATGATTAAAGGGAGTGCATTGCCTCTCTTGTGTGAACCGGTGCATTCAGAGTCCATGCATGCTCACAGGATGCACACAAATGTGCTGCCAACTGATAGCAGATCCTCTTGTAGGTCCTCAAGCGAATGAGTGAGAGACAAACAGGCAAAAGTTCTGCAAAAACAAAGATGATAACCTGCAGAAGATGGAAAACAAACATGGACTGGAAGATATAAACACATCAAATGAAATCTAAAAAAGACAAATTCAATCTTTGAGAAGGTGTGAGGTGAGCTGCACTGATAAGGTCTACTGTTCTGTGAAAAGAAAACCAAACCGTCCATGTCTGACACATTCATATCATCACTTCAGCCGGATAAGGACCTCCACACATCTCACTGTCTGAGGTTTTAATGCTCAGAGTAAAGGTGAAGAAATTCTCCCCACACCAAAGAAGAAAAAGACATCCAGCCTTGGTTAGAGGCTCAGCTGGAGAGAGTACGCTCTCTTCTATCATCTCCTCTCTGGATGAAACACAGCAGATAATGGAGGAAGAGGAGAGATGGAGACGGTTCTTTGAAGGAATCAGACTGATGTAAAAGGGCAGATGGAGAATGAAGCAGAGAGTGTGGGAGTGAGAAAGAAAAGACAGAATAACGAGAAAAAAGGAATAGGATAACAAGGACAAGACAGAGGTAATACTGTCCCAGTTTCATAAAAGCTGTCCATGAGTTCCAAAAAGAGTGTCGATTTTTGTACTTTGTACTTGCATTTCCGCGTCAATACACATTGATGCAGAAATGCCGGCACTGACGAAAAGTTTTGGACATTTAAAGCCAGATTTAGAGAATATAATGCTAATGTGAAGAATTCAACACTGGCTACATAACTGCAAATTTAATATGAAGTAAAAACAGAATGGTTATAAAAACTCCATATTAGTCATGCCTTTAACTATTTGTTTACTCATTTAAACTAAGAATGTCCTGTACCACATTGCTGTTGTATTATAATAAAATGTTGAAAGCCTATCAGAAAAAGTCAAAGTTCTCGAGAGTCATAAAACTCGGACTAGTGTGCACCACTAGCATCGTAGCCGTCTTGGTGTTGGTCGGCGACCTTATTAAACTCAAAACAATCACATCTTCGAGCGACAGCATGAAAAACACTTACAGGCGTTGCCTCTGGGGGAGGAGGAGAAAGAAACACGATTAAGCGGACAACGATGCTCAATCAGCGCATCTGAGGCTGATCACCTCACAGCTCTACTACCGGTCACACCAGCTACATGTTGCTACGGCAACGGACATTAATTAATCAAACCCTTTTACTGCCGGGCCGGCCTGCTTCCAAGTTCCTGGTTATCCCGGTGGTCCAGTCCAGAGGTAGATGGTTTGATTTATTTGGTTGTCTTCCTCTAAAATTTTACCCACAGCTGAAATTAACCAAAACAATAATGTGCCAGAAAAAGGGGCTTACAGGTGTGAACATCAGAGGACCGGAGCAGGTTCCCTGTGGATCACCTTAAGCTTTCCTTTTTCCAAAATCCTGAGCATTATTTGAAGTCCTCAAAAACATTGGCAGGAAGTGATTGTGTCTTTGTTTGTTTGGTGGCGAGGGACCCTTTCAGCTTTTTATTGACGAAGGTTTAAACGTCCAAGACGGATTACACAAGGTGCCAGTCACTTCCACGAGAGAGGTTTTACATTCACCGTTTGTTCTGCCTCTTTTTAATCTTATTATATTTATTTTAATCTCATTAGATCTTTAATTAAGCTCAATGAGTCCAAAGTCTAAAGCCCCTCTCAAGTGTTTCATGTCCGACATGTCTGAGTCACTTCCTGATGAGGGTTATCAGTCAAATCTGGACTTTTCATTACTGCGAGGAGTTTTTACACGACTGTTAATTAAATACAGTCTCTATGAAAGCAGGTACACAATGACAAATCTTTAAACTTTCATCTGAATCATAACCAGGAAACTCTCCATGAAAACCAACACACTGGCTGACTGTGAAAGGAAATTTTAAAGGGAAAATTCATCTCTCTATCTCTCTCTCGCTCTCACACACACACACACACACACACACACACACACACACACACACACACACACACACACACACACACATGCTCCCCTTAGGTCTAATCCACCTCTTGTGGCTCTTGAGGAATTTAAATCAGAAGCTCCTACAGAATGATGGCTCACTGCTGCCATCAGCTGGCTGCTGTCGGTACTACCACCACTTACAATTCTCCTGGTGGTATTTTTTGTCATTGTCATTTGAACTTAGGCGACCTCTGTAATGTCTGTTTCTATTTATAATGAGTCAAGAGCGTCTAATAAAGCGTGCACAGCTTTGTGATTCTTTAACTTTCTATTGTCGCTCGCAATAACAGGGAACATGTCTGGGATGTTTCCTGATAAAGAGAAACTACAGTGTTTTACACCTCAGTCAGACTGGATTAAAAATGTTGTACATCACCAGAGACCATTAACAGTATGAGCGTGCACGTGTACACACACACACACACACACACACACACACACACACATCTCTCTGCAGATAGGGGGTGTTCAGATAGCAAACCGAGGCTGTCGGGTTATTTTGGGGGTCAGCTGTCGTTGGTCCTGTCAGCAGGACCCTCCTCCCCCTCCTCACCCCTCCACCTCTCTCTTTCCTCTGCCTCTCTCTGTCACTTCTTCACTGCTGATCCTGGTAAGACTCTTTTAGCCTCTCAAAACTCACATTTCCTTTGGGAAATCTGTCTTTATTTCAATGTAAAAACAAACCTTTCAGGTGTGATTCTTGGACACGTGAGCTTTTCCTTTCTTCAGGTTGAAAGATATGAGTCTTTATCTCAGTCTTAATTGTCCTCATGTGTTAAATCTTGTACCATTTTAGGTTTAAAATCACTTAAATGTGTTCAGCTGTGCGATATTTAAGTTTTTAGTGTAACAGAGGAAATCTAACATACACTGCGGTCTGTAATGGCAGCCATGAAAAGGAGAGTTGCTTTGTCACTGTTGGCGTGTAGGTCTGAGAATATGCTGTGAAGTCACTCTGAAATGACGTATTTAGGATTATTTTTAAACTTTAAATCGGACAAAGTTCAGTCCGAATAATGATTAAAAATGTTTATAATCCACATTTCTCTGAATCTGATTATATTTAAAGGTTTCAAACTGTTTTAGTTGAAGTTTGAGTTATTTATTGGTTATGAAAAGCTAATTTTCTTGCTTTTATTTCGAGTCTTCAACTATTCCACAGAGATAGAGTTTGTGACGTTTCTGGTGCTGTTTTGCTGCTAATCATAACAGCTTATAGTTACAGAAGTCACATGAATGTTTAGGTAGAACAAGCAGCAGAAACATTTACTTTTTTTACTTTTTCACTGTTGACAGTCTACTTTTCTGCATCATTCAGGTTGTTTCATCTGGAAAATAGAGTTTGATGGACTATGGTTAATGAAATTTCTAATTCTTATGTATCTGTCTAAAATGTGTACCAGCCATTTTTTTCATTAACTGAGGAAAAAAATTTGATCTTCGAAATCTTTGAAAATCACGAACATTGGATTTCTCTCCAAACGTTCTTGCTCACTTTTCAGTAAATTTTCATAATCTTCATGTTAACATGTGATTTCAGGTTGTTTGTTTATTTCAATGTGACTGTAATGTTGGAGGCGGGGCTGTAAATAGTTGCATAACTAGGTGGGTGGAGCCTGATATGCTTCAGGAGGTCTTGGAAGCAGTTTTTTTTTCATATGTGGGGGTAGGTGTGCCATCAAGAATGTAAACTGACAGATTAACGCAGAACAAACAACATGTTTTGTTGCATATACTTGTGTGAGCAGAGGGTATACGGCATTTTGACCATATTTGGAGACTCTCAGGATAGATTAGACTAAAACAGGTGTGTTCTTAAATGTGTCTGTGTGTGTGTGGTTGTTTGTGTGTGTGCATGTATGACAGAAGGGGAAGCTGCCTGGATTAGACGGCTAATTTTAACTCACCAGATACACAATCTGTGGCAGCCGTCATGTTGCAACATAACTGTGGGGACAAACAGCCAATGAGCACACTGGACATGTTCCTCCACAACATACAAAGAGAACTTTAAACTGAAAAAGATTACATTTTATGGAAAACATGTGCTTACCGTGATTCCATGCCAACAACTCATCTCAATAAAGTTGATTCAGGTTCGTATATCCTGAACTCTTCTTACACCAACACCCTGTAGACCACAGGTGTCAAACTCAAGGCCCGTGGGCCAAATCTGGCCCGTGGAACAATTATATTTGGCCCATAAGATCATATCATATTTGTATTATTATTGGCCCACCAGTATGAAGTCTGCAGATTTCCTCCAGTATAATAATGTAAATTTTAGCACCATCATTTAAAATGTCCTTGATAAGACACAAAAATCTGGGAAATTAAAGAGTATGGAAGGAATTTTTAATTTCATGCTTTGATTTTGTTCAACTCAGCATTTAGACTTGTTTAATTTTTATACTTTAGATTCTAATTTTAAATTTTAAGTCATATTTTAACCTTTTAAACCTGATTTCAATGTTCTCTCGTGTATTTGCTCTTTCATTTCATTGTTTTTCCATTTTTTATCATGCTCTGATCTTTTGAACTAATAAATAAAAATAGAATAAAAAATGTAAATGTTTCTATCTCAGATTTCCTTTAAACTTATCTTTTTATCTCTTTTGAATTTACAAATGATTTATAATCATTGCTGTTTTTGTTCCATATTTTTTGAAAGGTAGGGTTGACAGTTTTGGTGAAATGTTGACCCTCTTTAGCCCTCAGGTTAGACCTAAATCCAGATTATGGCCCTTGCTGTGGTTGAGTTTGACACCCCTGCTGTAGACCCTAGCAGACCAGGTTCTGGAGTCTGAAAGTGAAATGCTAAACAGCTCAGGGTCTCCTTTGTCCTATTTTTGGTGTTATGATGCTCCAAATGTTTTCAATGGGGGACAAATCAGGACTGCAGGCAGACCAGTTTAGCAGCAGGACTCTTCTACTACAGAGTCATGCTGTTGTGGTTTGTCATTGGGATGCTGGTTTTGAACTATGAGCTGATACCAAGCCATGCGGACCCTCTTCTGTTTGGAGAGGAGGATGTAGGGTCCATGATTTTCAAAAAGACTGTGAGAGTTTATGGAGGTCTTTGCTCTCTATAAATGAGTCTAAACTGAGTATGAGATACTGTGTATCGATCTCCACAAGCAAAGAAAAATGGCTATTTAAACTTCCCTTAAATGATCTTTCCCTCTCCACAAAAACTCAGAAGGTTGAGGATGGAGGCGTCGGTGAAAACAGCGAAGGTGCTGGTGCCCCCACAGCCTGCTGAAAACCCTGACGGTGAGGAGGCAGCTGCTGCCTGTGCCTCCCTTCCCTCCCCCACCACCTCCTCCTTCTCAGAGTTCGCTGACCCCATGGAGGAGTTCAGCCGGCAGCTGGAGGACATCATCAGCACATACAGCTCGACCACCAGCATCCTGGACAAACAGGTGAGTCAGGTGACCTCAGATTGAGGGACAAAAACTGCTGCTGACACACGAGGGTAAAGTTTGGATGTTTCTGACTGTTTCAGAGTGCGGTGGAGGCAGAGATGGAGAAGATGAAGAAGGAGGCTAAAGAAGACATCGCAGCTGCCATAGAGTCAGGTAAGAATGAAAAATTATTCTTCAAAATCAAGTCTCTTTAAACAGTAGTCATGTTCAGCAATTACAACGTCTCATTTCCATTTCTCAGAGGCGTCTCTCATCAAGCAGAAACTGAACAAGCTCTCCTCCTCTGAGAAGAAACTGGAAGATCTAGTCAGAAAATATGCTGAGCTGGTACGATGTTGTAAAATTGATACCTACTTTTTTTCTCCTGTTTTTGTTTATAGTGAACAAAACACTTCAAACCAACTGTGCTCCGACTTTTAAACACAATCTGGCTTTAACTGCCTAAAACCAGCAGAAAAGACTAGACTATTTTAAAATGTGCATTTGTGTGTGTGTGCAGGCGGCTCAGCGGCGTGCAGACGAGAAGAAGTTGAGTGTGCTGCAGCAGAGTTTTTCTCTCCTGCTGGACGAGCGGCAGCAGCTGCAGGCCGAGAGCCGGAGCAGCGTCACGGCTCGCAGCAAACTGGAGGGTCTGTGCAGAGAGCTGCAGGGACACTACAGCAGGCTGAGGGTATGTGTGTATGAGGGTGCAGCAGGGGGCGCTATGGCTCTCTGTCAACTGCAGCATGTCTACATTCTTAATAATGCATTTCTTTATCCTGCCTGTCTGTCTCTCTCCTCAGGATCAGACCCTGAGGCGCTGCAGAGAGGATGAGGAGAAAAGGAATGAGATGACAGGACACTTCCAGACCATGCTGACTGAAATCCAGGCCCAGATCGAGCAGCACAGCAACAGGAACGACAAACTGTGCCGAGAAAACACCATTTTGACGGAGAAGCTTGAGGGTCTGATGAACCAGTGCGAGATGAGGGAGGAGGTGAGAGGGGGCAGAGGTCAAAGGTCAAACACAACTTCAATTTACCTTCTCAAAGGGATATTCCAGCGTAAAAATAACTTAAGGTCAAACACACTGTAACACTGAGTTCGACATCCTGTCGAGAGATGAATGTTGCCGACTGCTTGCTTCTCTAATTACACCAACTTTATTAATGACAGCATGATAGCAACACAGAGAGCCATGCACTCAACCAAAACGCCACTCTATAGCTATAAATAATGCTCAGAACAGCACCTAACTTCATCAACAGTACATATAGGGTCCCAGCCACAGCACTACCCACCAAACATCTTTTTAGCTTTGCCTAATTTCTTAAGCTAAGAGACTAAACACAACTCACCTACTCTCTTCCAGCAGCCGCTTGTTTGTAGCAAGACCTCCGGGCGAGTCCATTACCGCAGCAGGGTGACGCAGCTCAAGGAAGAACATTTATGATAATTTCTTCATGGAAATCCAATCAGAACGAGACGCTAAGGCAGAAGAACTGCTGCATCTGCAGTGCAAAATGATAAATATGATGATTGCTACTTCGAGGAAATGAAAAGAAACGATCATAAATGTTGAGCCGTGTCACCTCGCTGCAGTCGATGGATTTGCGCGGAGGTATCCGTACAAACGAGCGGCTGCTGAAAGACAGAGTGTGAGTTGTGTAAAACAAGAAATCAGGCAATGCTAAAAAGATTTTTGGTGGCTAGTGCTATGGCTAGGACCCTATATGTACTGTTGATGAAGTTAGGTGCTGTTCTGAGCATTATTTGTGGCTATAGAGTGGCGTTTTGGTTGAGCGCATGGCTCTCTGTATTGCTATCTGCGGTTATTACTAAAGTTGGTATAACTAGAGTAACAAGCGGTCGTGTAACTCGGTGTTACGATGTGTCTGACCCTAATTTATTTTTCAGCCAGAATATCCCTTTAATGATGAAAAAACATCCTGATTATTGTCTCAAAGGTCCCATGGCATGCCAATTTCACACAATTTAAAATAGTCCCCTGATGTGTTAAAAGCATGTCTGTGACGTCCTTCGGTCAAAAGTCAATTTGGATCAATTATTTTAGTGCTCTTTTTATCAGCTAAAACCAGCTCCGCTCAAAATCCTCCGTTTCGGGCCATGTCTCTTTCATGAAATGAGCTGCACCTAAGCCACATCCACTTTATACCCATCTCTCTGGAAGGGGCTGTGGCTGTGCTCCGATAGCCATGCGCTAATGTTTACACTGGCTCGGTCATGGCTGCAAGAAGATCGCTCATACATCCTACCAGTTTGAGCTAGAGTCTGACCCAGAGGGTGAGGCTCCGGAAGAAACTCTCAGCTGCGTTCAGACCAAACGCGACTTGAAGCGACCTAGTCGACACATCCTATGTATTATTCAAAGCCGCCAGGAGGGTCACGCTTAGCCGGTACGTCCCGTATTTGAGCCAAAAGAGGCGCGTCGCCGCACGGGTAAATGCTAAAGCTACATGCTGCTCCGGAGGGGGGTTTTGTCCCCCGCCGAAGGAGTTGTCGGGGAAGAAGCGAGCGGCTAAAATACGGGAGGATCCGGTAAACCGGTACGGATCCGGTGTGTTTATCAAAGCGTGGTGGCCGTGCTGAGGCACGGGGGGAATTTAGTCTAAACAGTAAGTCAAAATAAAACGTTCATACTTACAGATGCCACGTTTGTAGTAGGATCACGGATAGTTGGTACGGATCCATTCTTTATCTTCAGATATCTAGCAAATCCAGCGTTGAACTGTCCCTCGTTGATAAAACAGTCCAAAGTGAAATGGTGCGCACATACGTACAGATAGTTTGGAAGTGCCGCGGGCACATTCCCATCATAAATAAAATCCACCCATTGAGTCCTCAGATCCTCCGACGAGGGAGTTTTCAAAAGAGTTTTGTGCTCGTTTGTGCAGCCAACAACAGAGCAAACGCTGCCTCTTTTTCAGATTGTACTTTCGCCATGGTTCTAACCGGAGCTATGCGAGCGAGCGGCCGGGAATAATGGCGGCGTTAAGATGATTTTTTTGGGCAGGTCAGTGGGCGGCTCCATGGGCAGTACCATCAACCCGCCAGCACTGACATGACGTCATGTCAGTGGAGTTTTCAGAACGGCTCTGAGCACAAAGTTCCTAAATACGGAGATAACTAAAAAACGACTGGATGGAATTTTTTCGAACTTGGGGGGGTTGTAGCGGTTTTCTATCCCTGATATGCACCCCCACCCCCCCCACCCCCCCCCCGTTAACAAAGTCAGTTTTTCATACCATGGCCCCTTTAAAAATACTTATAAAAAGAGATTCATGTTTTTGTCTCCTGTTAAAAGCCTTGTACAAATAAAGTGAAAAATGAGGTCATTTCAATAGTCAGTCTTCCTGAGAAGTTGTGCACAAAATGGCCATAACTGAATTGAAAACAATCATCAGATTATTCCAACTCTTGTTGTTTTCGCTGCAGAGTTTGGAGAAGATCAACGAGCGCCGTGACCTGCAGCACAAACTGACTGAAGCAAAACTGCAGCAGGCCAACGCTCTGCTGACCGAGGCCGAGGAGAAACACAAGAGAGAGAAAGAATATGTAAGTGTGGAGCCAGTGAAAACACTGACGAAAAACAAACTTTTTACAAACTATAACACTGCAGTGTTTACAGTTTGCTCTCAAAGTTGGGACTAACATGAACTCTGAGAGGTCAACAAATATTTCTTGTGTCATTAACCCACAAATACTCGGCTCAGGGACTTCTTGAAGATAACAGGGATGACAGGTAGAGTTGTAAAAACCTGTACTCTGGATTCAATAATCCACGAACACAGTTCATATCAGCACAGCTCTCTGATTTGCGAACTGCAGAAAAAGTTAAAAAAAAAAAAAAACTCAAAACAAGGAGTGTACTATTTCTGAACGTCAAAGTTTAAGTAGAAATCATATAAATATGAATCAAATGTGAAAAGATTAATGCATCACTTAGTACGGCATAAAAATGACCCCTAATACAAAATACCTTGAACTTGATTGTACGATTCCATCACCATGGAAACAGTTTGTCTAATTACACCTACAGTCCACAAATCTTTCAGCCTGGCGGGGCCATCCTGTTGTGTGAATCACTTGCTGTTCCTTCCCACAACAGTCTGGACTTCGGCCCATTGGGGGCGTGTATTAGCGATCAGAAAATAACCGGGCCAATCAGAGACCATGTTTCCACTGTTACCCGGACAACAGGGGAAAGGCAGCCCCTGATTGGTCCATGTGTAGATGGTGACGTCTAACACATGATCAGGGACCAATCAGGGGCTGCCTTTCCCCGGTCTCTGATTGGCCCGGTTATTTTCTGATCGCTAATACACGCTCCCAATGGGCCGAAATCCAGACTGTTGTGGGAAGGAACGGCAAGTGATTCACGCAGCAGGGTGGCCCAGCAAGGCTATTTAAGAATCCCCTCTTACAATATTAGTGGCTGCTGACTACAAAACTGTGCCCTCTTTTTTACTTGGCTCACAGTTTACGAATCTTTATTCAATTTCTAATCAATTTTGCTATAGTGTTCAAATCTTTATCAAAATTTTATATATCTGTGTCTACTTTGTCGAATCTTCACCACTTTTTTTTTATCCTTGTCCCCTCAAATCTTTGCTGAAAACTGTTCCAACTTTTTCTGAATTTTGGTGCACAGTTTATGAACCCTAGACCACTTTATAGAAATCTTGAGTGCTGGTATTTCTGATACAAGTTTTCAGTCATGTGATCTTTAATTGTCGGTTGTATGTGACATTTGTTTGTGTTTTGTTGTGTTTAATAAGTGTGTCTTAAATCTAACTGTCAGTAGATCTCATGGAAAGTACTCAAAAACCTTTAACAAGCCCATCCATACTCATAACTAACAGTAATCTGATCATTTATTCAATATTTTCATCATTACGTTGAATATATCAGTAATGTGTAATGTGTGAATGCCCCTCAGATTGACTGTGTGTTGTCTCTGTCGCCGTAGTTGCTTAGGGAGGCTATTGACAAAACAAAGAAATGCTTCGCTATGAAGGAGCAGGAGCTGACCATGAAGAAGAAGGTAAAGAGCCGTCTGTAATGTGTCTCTGTCTGTTCTCTTCTAACCAGTTACTGGTTCAGGCTGCTGAGTGGAAACTGCAGGCTCAGACATACAGAGAGCAGGGGACTGTCATGCAAGCGCAGGTGAATATTCACAGAAGAAACTAACACGCTAAAAAACGAGGACAGGTAGAGGTAGCACACACCTGGAGGCAGCAGCAGGGACACTGAGGGCATGAAACCAGGCCGAGCAAATCAAGCCTGTAAGCCTGATCCTTCTGAAAATACTGCAAAGAAAACAGGGGCTGACACTGTACAACAAGGCACAAGTGTAACCAAATATGGAAACTCTCAAATTGTATGAGCAGTTGTTGACATAATTTATGCATTATATTAGATGTTATATCGAATAATCCTTCTCAAACATATTTTACTCTCTTGAACTAGCAGATAATTATCTAAAAACAGTGGATTAACCTTTTAAAATAAATAAAGCATGTACAACAAAACTGTCAGTCAGGAAGAGCAAAAACACCATATTCAAGGCTGACCATTCACAGAGGAACAGGCCACCCATGTGTAAATTTACTTTTTCATACTGCATATAAAAAGTCATCAACGCTTCTTTATCATTTTTTCTGTATGTAAAAATTAACTGTTTTAAAAATACATTATTGAGGTTGTCATGCTTTGATTGAATGTTAAGGGTTGTAAACGGCTCATTTTGTGAGCGTGAATGATGAACAGCCTTTAGCAGTGCGCATACATCATAATTAAGGTTTGTTGAAAGTTGTAATCAATCAGTTAGTCGACCAGTCATGATACAAAAACTGATATTACTGAAGATTAAGAGCAAAACTCAGATTCTGATTTTTCCATTTTAAATAAGAACAAATAACCATAAACTAAAAGGTCATAAATTTAGTTTTGTCTTTTAATTTCACTGTAAAACTTTAGATTTATTTGAATTAGACCCCCTGAAAGAGATTCAGCTACAAAAAAAAAGGGATTTTAGTGAACTCACTTACTCTCCACTGCTCCTCTTAAATGATCACAGGTATCTGTTTAGATTGACTTGTTTTAATCATGCTGTGTGATGCAAATATTTCTGTAAACGTCCTAGTGAGATCTGAGTCTGACTCCTCTTTTTGTTGGTCCACAGCTGGCCCTCTATGCTCAGAAGTTTGATGAGTTTCAGGACACTCTGGCCAAAAGCAACGAAATCTACGTCCGCTTCAAGAAGGAGATGGATAATGTAGGTGTTGACAGCTCTCACTGATGATTTAAACAACAATGAATCAGCTTAACCCTCCTCCTGTGTTAGGGTCTGTACCGACCCCTTTTTGATTTTAAATGCTTAAAAGAACCACAGAAATTAGCTTTTTCGCGTTAAGACTTTTTGACTTTGTCAGGAACCTCTATTTCAACAAAATGAAAAAAATAATAAATAAATTGACTAAATTGTAAGATGCTCTTATTAAAATTATGGCACTTGTCGTGTTAGGGTCGCTGTTGACCCAGTTAGATTAATATCAAATAATTAGATAAAAAAACTGAAACCATAAATGCACTGACAGGCACCACACTGACAGTCAGATCCTTTTACAATCATGTGAGATTTAGGAATTTCTCATTTTGCCTGGTTTTTCCCTGCACAAACAACTACGTCAGGCATGTCCAGACATGTGAAATCAATTCCGTATAGATGTCTGTGTGAGGGGTATACTGACAAAGAAAGGCCCAGAGGCCCACTACAAAAAATATTACAAGCAATATTTTACCTAGAGATGAGAACCAAACTGAATGATAGAGAATTGTTTTTAGTGTAATTTACAGCTGATTTAAAACACAGGTCAAAACCGACCCTTAACATGGTGGGTGTGTAGTCAAAGCTAACACAGGAGGAAGGTTAATCTAAATGTTACAGGGTTTTTTTTAAGCTTTATTATAAACCAAGTCTTCTGGCGTTACCAGGAGGTTTATGGTTTTCACTTCGGGTCCTTTTAGCAAAGCAACCCTGCAGTTTCAAACTCTCCTTGTTTCAGATGTCAGACAAGATGAAGAAAATGGATAAAGAGTCAAATCTGTGGAAGACGAGGTTCGAGAACTGCAACAAGGCTCTGACAGACATGATTGAGGAGGTATGCTGTCACTGTTTCTCATAGGTATAAAAACCTCCATGAAGGTCTTATCAGGTCCCGATAAAATGAGCAGTCATTACATCAGTCAGGATTTGATAAGCCTCTGTAGAGCTTCAGAATTAGACAATCCGATTTGCAGATTGTTGGCTGCTGAGCTGCCATATTTTATTATCAAGTATTGCATAATATTGTATCTTGGCATATCATATCATCTTGCTTTTATTCGAATAATAGTGCAACATGCGGATTTGTATCGTGTCGTATTGTAATATACTCCATCACAGTACTGTATCTCGTTGTACTGAATCACATCCTGTCACTTCATTTTGTGTTTTATCTCACTGTGGTGTATCACATTGCGTAGTTTTCTATCTCATTAAACTAAATTGAATTGTAAATGTACTTACAAACCTAATATTTGAACTTTATCATCAATAATTACTTTAGGAAACCAAATCAAATTTTGTATCTCAGTGTGTTAGAGTGGTTTGTTTAAAGTGTACCAAAGGTAAAACACTTGAATCACATCTTATGACTTCTTTATGTAAGAATAAAACTGCTGCAGAGTTTATAACTTTCAAGAACTTCTATATTTTCATGTTCAGTATGTCTCACTGTATTTGTTTCTGATTCTCGTTGTGTTTCATCCGTCTGTCCCAGAGAGCTGAGAAAAACAAAGAGTACGAACTTTTTGTCCTGAAGATCCAGAAGTTGGAGAAGTTGTGCCGGGCCCTACAAGAGGAGAGGGTGGTCCTCTACGACAAGATCAAGGAAGTCCGCATATCTAACGCCAATCTTCCATCAAAAATCTTCAGCAGCTCCAACAAAGATGAAACCCCAGACACTGAGAGTGCTAAATCTGCCCTGCTGACCCCTGATATGATCCAGGAGTTGGAGCAGATCCAGCAGGAGGACCCAGTGCTAACGGAGAACATGACCCGTCTGAGAGAAGAGCAGGCCAAGCTCACAGAGTTTGCAGCCTCCCTTTTGGCTACACCCAGCAATGATGAGGAAGGGGTCACCGAAGATGTAGACCCTGAAGAAGACGTGGTGTCTTCTGCATTCAAACAGTTTAAAACCAAAACTCAAGTCACAGAGGAGGCAGTCTCTGCTCCCAAACAGGTGGTAGAGGAAAAATCAGATACAGCTGAGAAGGTCCCACAGCCTGTGGTGGAAAAACCAGAAGCCCCAGCACCTGTGGAGGACACCCCTGAGATGACCCCAACCAACACAAAACCAGAAGTAGAGAATTTTCAAACCCAGATCAACAACAAAGAGGAGAAAACAGTAAAACCAGATCAACAAAAACCAGCTGAGACAGCACCAACACCAAAGCCCGAAAAAGTCAAGACCAGTCCACCAGCAGACACAAAGTCAGAAGCAGAAAAAGTCCAGACTCAGATCGACAACAAAGAGGAGAAACCAGTTAAACCAGATCAACAAGAACCATCTGAGCTGGTGTCATCTGAAAAAGTCAAGACCAGTCCGCCAACGGGCACAAAACCAGAGGTGACAGAGGCTGAGATCAAACCAGTGGTCCCAGTGGAAGACCAGAAGGTCCAGCCTAAACCAGTGCAGGCACCAGAGGAAGCACCAACCAAGTCAGACTCAGCTCCACCCTCTAAAAACACACCTAAAGCTTCTGCTCCCTCCAATGCCGAGTCTTCCAAGAAGCAAATGCCAAAGAAGAAGAAGAAGAGGAACGCCAAAACTGCAAGCTAAAGCTTGGGTTATGCAGGGTTGTGTGTGTGTGGGGGGGAGGGAGTTGAATAACTTGGAAATAGTGAGTGTGTTCAGGTGCTTTTTCACCTTTATAAACATTAAGTTCTTTGGTTTGTTCCTCTGGTGCAGCTTCAGCGTTGTCACAATCATTTCCTGAGATTTAACGCAACCAGATGAGGACAGACATAAAACTGACTGTATTTAACAGTTTGAACGTGAACTTTTGGTTTTGGCATGTTATGGGGAATCAGACACCTTGACAAGAGTTAACACAATTTTTTCTGTCAGAAAAGTTGAGTGTTGACAAAAGTTCAGTGGTTTCCTGATGTGATGTGAAAAAAAAAAGCTTTAAACAAACTTTTTGTTGGTGTCTACACCAGTGAAGTTCACATAAACTTTAAATCACAATGCAAGTTGAATAAAGTGATTGTTTTTCACTACTTCACGCTACTCTGGAGTTTCCTTTTTGACAAGTTTTATGAGTTTTATGTTTTACAACACTCGTTGACTCTAGGGCTTTCCTTCCCCGCCTCTCAGATTAAGCGTTTGCAGCCTTTATTGATACAGAGCTAAATAATAGTAAAAGCTATCAATATCTATTGCCGTATGGAAAGAGATCTAGGCAGTCAGTTACAATCTAATGGAAGTAGTAGCTTCCCAGATATCCTGCTCCTTTGTGAGACTGTAAGAGCTTTTTTATGTTAAGGAACCTACCGTATGACTTTAAATTGTCTCATTACACTGGCAGATTTTACTTACTCATCATGAACAATGCATGTCTACATTTTGGTAAGTAATATTTTTTTCTGATCTTGGCAGGTGAATTCGGTTGAAATTAAGTCCAATAAGAAAACTTTACTTGAAACTTGAACTTAAAACACTTAAAAGATTTGAGTTTGCTCAGCTTCACCTTTTTGGCTATACACATTATATTAGCTCTATACGAGAGGTCTCCACCTAAATGTAAGGAAACTAAGACAATCCATATACCAATTTTGGTGCAGTCATTCTCAAGATAAGGACCACTTGAACATATTGCCTACCAAAAATGGAAACTGGTTTAGACAAAAGAACCCTAAAGAGAAAATATTTAAATCGATGCTATGTATTCTCTAATTAAATTAAATTACATGAAATTAAACTTTTCAAGATGGCACAAAAGTCAGAAATCAAGCAGTTTCAAACCAGTACAGGGCTATTAATCCTCAGTCGCTTTATGTTGTGATACATGGAAAATGTAGTACAGTTCAATAAAACAGAATTTAATTCACTGAATTTGAGTCTTAACTTTCATATAAAACTTTAGAATTACTCCTAAACAAGTTCTACTTGGAAGCTAAGAAGATGTCCCTGCTTTTTAACATTTGGTGGAATCTGATGTTAGTCCTTACAAAGTCAGAAAAACAAGAGTACATGCACACACACACTGTGTGTATTATTGTTTGAACTGCCACACCATTTTTGTAACCTGGTAACATATTTCTAATTATACACCTCTATATAAGCCCCACCAGGTGGCGCTCTTTCCCCTTGCATGTGAAAGGCATCAAACCTGTCTCTTGTCATTCAGGATGCAATACAGCCTTAGAGCCACTAGAGGGAGACAGTGTTTTTAATGTTACATCAGTATTACATGATCGGGGTTTCCCCTGACTTTCAAGGCCTTTTTGTAAATTTCAAGCTTTTGGGCACAGATTTAAAGCTGTCACCCCTGATTATGGTTCTCAACCAGTTTTCCCTTTATCACCAAGCTGCAGGAGACTTAAGTATTAAACACAGCAAAGTGTTTGCTCCTATCATTAGTTTCACTCTGATTCATTCTGAGTATTTAAAATATGCTTCGACTTAAATGGAGTTGCATTTTTTGTTTAATTTATCAAATAACTATGTATAGATTCTGTGTTCATTTTGTTAGGTAAAATGGTGCTATAGGTTACAGAGAGAGATGATATTGAAAAGAGGATCTGTATTCACTGCATTCTCTTCCACCATAAAAGTATGCTTTGGCAGGAGACACTACTTTTGCACAGTGGGTAATAGTGCACATGGGAAATGCAGTCTTCAGTGAAAGTTTGTTTTCCCATAAACTGTCTAAACAACAACACAATGACACTACATTTGCTGCTGCAAAGGAGGTGTAATGAAGTCCGAGAGTGTTAGTCACTGTTTTGGAAATGCTAACTAGACCTGTAAGGCCATCAGTCGGTGTGGCCATATTGGAATTGCTGACTCGACCCATCTTTCAGGCAGCCTACAGTGAGGCAAAGGGGTGGCATTGAGGCAGGCCTTCAGGATCAGCCATGCCACTGATTTGCAAACGTGTAACTTTAATATCTCCAAAACAAATTTGTTATTATAAGAATTACTCCTTGTACAGTTCACACAAAAAAGAAATACGTTTTCCAAACCAAAACAGTTTACAAACCAGACTGTAAATATATTCATTTCTGCTGTAAAGATGAGCTGTTTTGAGTGGGTGTGTATGTGGTCTTAAGGCTTCTGCAGTCAGCCTCTAGTGGACACCTGAGGAACTGCAGTTTGCAACATTTATCTGCTTAATCTCACAAGGCTGGAGTGTGCCACTTGACCTAGTCGTTTGCATTTTTATTCCTAACATCTTAAATATCACAACTTTAAATCGCTGACTGAAGGGGTCGTGAAATCTAACAACATGTAAAAGATGACCCAGGATCATAATAAATGACAGAGGAGAGAGATCAGACGGACAGCCATTCTCTTTCATGTCGATGAGACTGAGAAACGAAGGGGAAGGAAACAAAGAACAAAGAAGTTTTAAAGTTTGAGATAAGACTCCTAATTGGAGACCAGGAAAGACATCACAGAGGGTGTGTAATTCATGGCAGACATTAAAGCTTTTCTGAAGTGTTTCAACCTTGACAGGATATAAGAGTTGACATAGCAGGTTGTACTGATCTGTGAAGGATCTAAACAGACTCTGATTTCTATCATAGAAGTTTCCTGTGCCTCTGACTCATGTTACTGTCGTAACTTTCTCCCATACACCACTCTTCCATTTCTTATCAGTGCCCACATTTAGCTCCTCAGATGCCCATACATCCTACACATCCTGCATCCAGTCCTCTTCACCGCCCCTATAGTCCTGGCTCCATCAGGGAGGTTTTCCTATCCAGCAGACAGCTTCACCATCCCTTTAAAGATATAAAAACTTTATTTTTAGCACTTATTCTGCCCTCAATGTGTCTGTCATGTAAAAAATTGTTATATGTTGAAAATGTGTGATTTGTTGCTTTTATTGTATTGGAGTATTCCCATGTTTTTATTTTGAAGTCCACCAAAAACAGGAAGTGTTGAGCCAGAGGCCAGAGATTGATTCAGTAGAGTACACACAGCTGCATATAAACGGTTTCACCTTAATGAATCAAAAACATTCTTGTTTTAATTCCTCAGAGCACATTGGCTTTAAGTATGAAATGATGATCACACACTGAATGGTTCATCTTGAAGAGTTTTATACACATTTTGTAAAGGTTGATAAAGTTTGATAGATGAACAAGTTTGCACTCGTAAGATGACTCTTGTATCGTACGCTAGGCTAATGCTTGCCCACGTTGTGATGAACATTGCCACCAGTGGTCATGATTCCTTGATACGCAATTGTTTTTAACACTTTAGAGAGGTATGACGATTTTTGTTGTTTGAACTTTGTTAGCATTTTACTGAAAGAAATATTTGTATTTTCTTTTCTAGCTTCACTCCAATTCAGTGTTGTCATCTCAACTTACAACTATGAGAGAGGTCAATAAAGGAGCAAGCATGCTCACATCCTGGCTCTTGAAAAGGAGTTTGACTGGCTGTTTAATCTATGTTAACAATAGAACAGTCTAGACTGTACAGCCCTTTAGATAAAGTTCTTTAGCACACAAGCAAATAATACATAAGAAAAAAGTGCAGGAACCCGAACAGCAAAAATAAATGATTAAAAACATAAGAAACCATTATTGTTATTATTATTATTATTATTATTATTATTATTATTATTATTATTATTGTTATTATCATTATTATTATTATTGTTGTTGTTGTTGTTGTTGTTGTTGTTGTTGTTGTTGTTGTTGTTGTTATTTTTGTAATTATTATTTTATCTTATTTTCTTTCGGGTTTAATTGCTTGTTAGTTTTTAATAATAATATTATTATTATTATTAATAATAATCTTATTTTACATAACGTTTTGCCCCCAAACCATATACATTGTACTCATCCACACAATCAAGCGACAGTATTCCCTACCATACATTTTGTTTTTGCTCTGCTTGCCTTTTTTTTGCTGCAGTACCATTATCATTTTTTGTTTCTTTTTATTGTTGTTGTTTTTGATTTGTTTTTGTCTCTTGTTATTGTCTTTGTTGGTGTTGTTTTTTAAATTTCTTTTTATTCCTTGTTTCAATTATTATTCGTATTGCACTTCACTCCTTTGCATGTCTTGTTCAATGTTTGCAATAAAAAAAAAATAATTAATTTAAAAAACAAAAAACATAAGAAACCATGAGGACCTTAAACTCTTTGAGAGTCCTCATAACAGAAGAACCGGACATCATGAACTGAGACCTAAAGGCCCAAACACTTTATTATTATTTTTTTAGTCTGTCTTTTTCTTAGTTATGTATCAATGGTGTAAGAATTTGTAGAAATTTTCCAGTCATGAAACAGGCTGAGAAACATCACATTGTTGTTGGAAATTTGTGCCTGTTAGTGGCTTTAAAAGCATTTTCAGTGGGCGCACTGAGATTCTGCTCACAAGGACGATAATGGAGCTATTAGCTGTTTTACAGACCCAATTCAAAACCAGTCTCTGAGTACCCACACAGTTAGTGTTTTCAGGCATTGCAGTTTACATAATAATGGAATAAAGGTAAAAAGAAATTCAGACAGGGGCAGACAAGACTAAACATTTAAATAAAACATGACCTTTAACACCTTTACCTGTCAGAAGTCTGCTTCTGGTATCAGCTGTAATCATCCTCCACTTTTGCCCTTAATAACAAATTATTCAAATTAAAAACTTGGTTTACATTATGAGCTGTCCAAGTTATAATAAACACATTTCTGAGTATCTCCTGTAAGCTGCAAAATGAAGCGTACATCCCAGATCCCTAAACTCCAGGCAAAAAGCTGAGAAAACACTCAGGTATGTAAAGAGGTTTTACCTTTAAACCCATGAATCTAAATATTCAATCAGAGTTGACAGGAGGGAAATGTAAAGCAGCCCTTAGTCTCTTAAACACTCAGCCTATCTGCAGGAAACATACCTGAGGTCTCTCTCCATGCAGGTGCAAAGTTTCTCCAGAACTGGTGATTAAACTAAGCTGAGCTGCATTTTCACTGTGAGGACTCTAAAAACATATGCATGAAGGAAATTATACTGACAGACCAAAAGAGATGAGGGATGTTAATGTGGT